TTTGCCAAAAGCTGTCTTTTGTTTCTTCTTGTGTCTTCTTGTTGTATGGGATGGTTGTTCCTGATGTTTTTTGACTTGTATAGCCCCTGGCAACCTGTTCTCGCTATGTTTTATTTTGCGCGTTGTTTGAACGATTGTGCCCTGGTCAATTATATGGCGCTGTGCGATTACATCTGAAAAAGTTATTCTAAATCAAAAAGCATTGGAGGAAGGACACAGATTTATCTATATATTCATTCATATATAATTATATTTTTGTTTAAAACTAAGCATCGAGTACCGTGACATTACCAAAAGTCTCAGTGCAGAATCTGAATATTCTTATAGTACGTCTGCCATATAAGATGGTAGACGTACTATAAGAATATTGAAGAACCATCTTATATGGCAGACAAACTTTTTTTTTTTTTTGTTTTTTGAATCGTAGGTTTTAGGGCATTTAAAGGGAAGATTAAAAACTTCGAATTCTATTTGGTATCATTAATTGTGAAAATATTACTGTTAATTTTCTGTTGCAGATTTTTATATTCAGCACTCACTGTTTTAGTGCTGATTGAAATGAAATATATTTTTCAAGTCTCTTCTATATTTTACACTTCTTAAACCTCTTTATCTAAAGTATTCGAATCTGAAATACATAATATATAAATCAAAGAGGCTGTTATAAGTTTCTTGTAAGTTGAGTAAATTATACACACTAATGAGTTAGATTGCTTGCCTCTTAATATTGGTAGCATTAACAGCAGATAAACTAATCGTAAATGTCATTTGTTCGGAAACACTTAGAATACGTATACTGATCTCATTCTTAAACTAATGTATACATAATATATTTAAGAATTAATGGAAAGTTTTTAAAATTTGATTTGAAAAAGATAACTTAAGTTGCTGTAAATAATGAATTACTTTTTCTTAAATTCAGAGATAATATATGAGATCAGTCCATAAACTTGTGTACATTTTTAGTTAAAATAAGTAAAAAAAATTCATCATAAAATTTATTTTAATCTAAAATGTACTTTTCATCATTTTTCATTATATCTTGCTGTCTTGAAAGTAACTTGTTAATTTTGCTTTCATAAGTTTTTGGTTCAGAATGAAAATACAGTATGTAATCTCTGAATAGCGGATACTTGTTGGGATCAAGAACTTTGTCTGTTATTCAGAGGTACTGTACATGCTGGAGCTATCCAGTACCTTAACCTGATCATTATATAGTGAAGAATATGATGGATTACGAAAACATCAAACTTGTGTTAGGTATGTGAATATAGTGAAAAGTATAATTAAAATGTTGAATTTACTAATTTAGCTGTATTATTTGTTCAGTGAATGGTTATCTCTTTAATCCAAAATAATTCTTTCGATGGACTATATTACAGCAAGTACAGTGGAACCCCGGTTAACGAACTTAATCCGTTCCACCACTCTGTTCGTTAACCGAAGCAATTTTTCCTATAGAAATTAATGCAAATGCAATTAATCCGTTCTAGTCTCCGAAATTTTTATGATTTTATTTGTAATACAGTCGATCCCCCTATAAGATGGTAGATACGTTCCTTTCTTTATGAATCAATTTTGTAGGAATCGCAGCCTGACACGTGTGAAGTTTACGGACTATGGCTGTTTGAAAGGTTTTCTNACAGCATTGCAGGAGGCATTATGGATGGTTACAAAAGATGACTTATAGTAATGCTTCCAGAAGCTGTACAAGCACTGGAAAAAGAGAATCATTGCCTACAGGGATTAGTTTGAAGATGTTGTGGATAGGTGTTTTAAACTATTCGATGCAAACAACTATATGTGGAGTGGAGTCCACAAATTTTTGGATCCTATTATTTATCAATAATAGTATTTTTATGTATAGAGTCTACTAACAATCATATGATATTAACTTTTCTCATCTTACTTAGCAAAGAAAGATTAAATTTAAAATTATTACAAAAGTGCAACATAAATATGGTAAATATCATAATTTTTAAAGCCAAATAAATGTTTTTGACAAGTGAAATAGTCATCATTAGGTTTATGAACAGGATCATAAAGACTCTGTAGAATTGAACATAACACAAATTACATTATAATGAAAAAGAAATATTTATATACACAGTAGGTGCTGCTGCTTGTAATTACTTTAGGATTAGCTTACACTGATAACAATAGCCAAATGATAACATTATGTGATGGAATTAGTAAAAATTCTAGTTTTATTGAATCAGATAATTTTAAAAACTTACATATTTAAAAATTTATAATAATTACTAATTAAAAGTTTGTTAAGTATTCATCTAGCATCATTTTTTGGCAATACTTCATTAATAAAATGTTCATATTTGTAACACTTTCAAAATTCAGCACATCTGTATTGCACACCAAGACAAAATACTTGCACAGATTTTCTGTATTTCATGTCTGAGCATTTGTTAGAGGAATTACAATATCTTTATGTTGATTTTCTTTAATTTCATCAGATAATTCTCCAGAGCCTTCTTTGGTATATTTCTGAAATATACCATAACTATTTACAATGAAAACAGTCATTTCTGTTCCTTTTATGTCCAAGATGGATTCTATATAAGTCCCTCTTTCTGCCCTGTGGGTACTAAGGGCATTGTATCTTACCCATCTCAGATTTAGCTAGCCCACAATGGGCAGCCAAACAGTGAGAGATGGGATTTGACATATCCAGGAAGGACCACTGCTGAAAAATTTTTGGGTTTTTTCAACCTGTCCAGATTTGTTCCCAGGTCTTCCAGAATGGTAGGCTGACAGCTTAACCGCTTGGCCATCTGATCATTTGTTTCTTTAGTTTTGCCATGCATAATACAATTACAAAAGTAAGTTTATTTAAAATGAAATAAAATAAGGCCTAGACCTATATTGATCAGGGAAAAAGTTTGCCATTAGCCATTAATCCAAGTTGAAATTGCAAGTAGAAATTTTGACTGAAAATAATTAACATTTCTGCTCTGTACTTTCTAAACCACTAAGAAATGCCACCATACAGTTAATATTTGCCTGACATTAAAGATTTTTACAGAAAATTATATAAAAAAATTAAAGTGTAAAAAGAAAATAAATTTAATTAATAGTGGTGATAAAATTAATATAATAAAAGTATTTGGTGAAAACTGTTTAAAACACCCATTTTCTAGTAATGATGGCTTATAATAGGCAGCTAGAAGCACCATATGGCTAATATTGGCATATCATTACATGGTGAATGACAATTAAAAACTATATATGATGATGATCAGGCATTACAAGAAAATAAAGTACTGTTTGTCTGCAATGTGGATATTTAACAATAATTTTTAGCCATTCTGTCTTTATACTTATTCAGCTGACACAGAATCAAACTTACTCTCTTATCACAAATATATCCATACACAATGTTTTCTCATTTTCTCTACTGGTTAAACCATCCATTGGCTGCAATAAAATCTTCCATTTGCTTTTTTTAAGCTAATTCTTCCACTTAATGATGCATTAGTGAACCATTAACAGATATATTTTTTTCATAAATATTACTACTAAAAGTTCAAAGCCAATTTAACTTTATTGTCTTTTCAGGTTCAATTTTCATTTTTTCACTAAATTTTATTATTTGGTATTTTTCAAAATCACATACAAACCTTGGCTGTAAATTTTTCAACTGTGTAGCAACAATCTAGTGACTCATTTTTGGCAGCTTTTAAAATTTCAAGTCAATTTTTGAGGGAAAAATCTTTACATTTATTATTTGTTTCTTCTATTATATGAAGAGCTACTGTACAGTACAGTACTATATTTTAATTAAACAGTAATGAAGATTAATCTTCAACAACAAACAGATATTTATGTTTCATTTATAGGCTAACTATAAAGCTGAATTTTAGATTAAAGCCAAACAATTACTAGATTGTAGATCTAAAAATTGGATTTATAGATGTTTATATTTGTATACATACAGCATGCCAAGGTAAAGCAATAGCCAGCTGAGTGTCATGCGCACTGTGTCATTCCCATTTGGTGTTGTAAGTAACTAGAACCAGTGTGGTTTATATTTAATTTAATGGTTCCGGAAGCAAAGATCGGACAAAGGTCCAGGTAATCTAACCAGCAGCACAACTGCACAGTATACGGAAGTTGCAGGCTTGAAACCTGCTTCAGACCAATTAATTTAGAAGGTTCCAGAAGAAAACAATTATAATTATTAAATTTATCAGGAGACGATGCTTACCTCTTGGCTAAATTACTTAACATTTAATTATTAATAATAGCATGAATGTAGCCCAATATAATCCAGCAATCATTTGGCTTTAGCATATAAATGAAGTAACAAATGACAAAAATCAAAATTGAAACTATAATACTGTGTACAGAACTGAGCTATTGAGTGAAAGATGGAAATGTACATTTAAGCCAGGGTTTCTCAACAGAGTTGGTTGTAAGGATGTGTGAAAGTTTCAGATCAATAAAGTTTTGCAAATGTAAGAAATTTGGTTAGAAATAAAAATTTTGCCCATTTTTGCTCTCAAATAAGTGTAGGAAAATGCCTTTAAAAATTATATAGAAGGCTGTTGTGTGATTGATTGATTGTGTGTACACAATCAATCAATTCTGCTTAATTGGGACACATCATGTCCTGACTAATTTGTCCTGTTTGCTAAACAAAAAAGGGGGTTTCTTCAACATTTCATGCTAACATCAGTAGCATAGAAGTATGTTCTGCAGAAGAATCACTGCATGACAATATTGCAAAATTATATTAAAAAGATGCTTTTGTGTATTGTGAATTTATATATTTTACTGTTTAAATAAATATTAGCGAGGTTGAGGCCAAAGTTTTAAACGTGTATGTCAGACGTTCAGCGCTGCTTTCCTGTAAGCCTAGAAGTTTGACAATGGTTTTTTGAATGTCAAGCATGATTCCACTGATTATCCAAACACCATTGTCAAACTTCTAGGCTTACAGGAAAGTGGCGCTGAACGTCCGACATACATGTTTAAAACTTCGGCCTCAACCTCGCTATTGTGTGAATTCCATATGTACAGTACATGAATAGTCAAAAATTTTAAATATTCTTTGTATTCTTAAATTTATTATTAAGTGAAAATTATAGTTTTCAGTGGGAAAAAAACCCATTGATACTAGCAAGATTCAAAACACTTCCTGATTATGAAACTGGCATTTCCCAACAGCTATCAGCTATTCTACAAATGATAGAAATGCTGAATGTTTTAAGTGATTATACAATTTTCAGCTTTAATTTTCTTGTTTAATTTTCAGTAATGCACTTTGACGTGTGTCAGCAGGGATGGGAGAGTCGGCAGAAAAATGCATGACTCCCAAGTTGGTTTTTTTTAATCAACTGACACTCCATTCCTTTATGTCAGTCATTGGGGATGCATTATATCCTCAGAGTTTGATCAAAATCAGTGATCCTGATATTATGCCATCACCTCATAACTGCTAATATGGTACATTTTCAGTTATATTATTGTTTATAAGCATTGGCAAATGAAGAAAATTTTGCTTTTGTGGCAGTGATCTGGAACCTAACCTGCCATGTTAGTAAGGTATACCATTATTATTTAATAATGTAATTTGTTCTGGATAAATTGTTTAGAGAGAGAGGATTTTTTTCATTCTATGATTGCCCTATTTTAAATATATAATTTGAGATTTGAGTATATGTGAATTTATCTTTGTATGTATAGTTAATGGCATATATTATGTTATTTATGAACTTAAATTTTATTTGTAGTTAATGGAAGATAATAAAACACTTGGTGAATATGGATTAAACAGTGCAAATGCAAAAGCTCAGGACCCTGCTACAGTTGGATTAGCTTATAAAGATTTAGGTTGGTATATTTATCATTCTAAAATTAAAAAAAAAATTATTTTGATGAATATTGTCACTAAATTAGCCATTTCAAAATAAAAAGAAACACTTGAAATGGGGCTTTTTAATTTTTATATCTTAAGCTTGTTTGTACTTAAATATAGACAAAAATGAGCTTTTATAAGCCGCAGTACTATTGTAAATTTTATAATTTTGATAGTTTCCTGCATATAAATGCTTTTATTAAATTTACAAAATACATAATTCATATTTTTAATAAAAGTAAGGAATAGAAGATTGCATTTCTTCAATAAAATTATATTTTATAAAAGAATAGCATTATTTAAATTTATTTAAATTTTATTTCAATAATTTTATTGGACAACTATAGCTGCTAAGATACATTCAAAATTAAGTAGGTTTTTGAATAAAACTTTCATCAAAATTATTTGACAGTCATCAAGATGAGTCAGGTTTCATTGCTGGTTGGTTTATTGTTATTTATTTTTATTTAATATGTTGTTGATTTTTCATGCATTGTGAAAACATATTACTATTTTATTGAGTTGCTGATTTAATTATCAAGTTCTGACTTTGTATTTTGACAAACTGAATGGTAATTTCTATTGAATCAACCATATAATTTTTAGGTGATATACCTAAAAATTATATGGTTGGTTCAATAGAAATCCATTTAGCCCATGTAAATTCCATTTGGTGTGTCAGACAATCCCATGATGCCATGCAACATGTGCAGTGCAGAATTATATGTTAGTTATTTTTTTACCTTTTGAATTATTTAATGTTATCTTCTAATGACATAAATAAGTTGTACAGTAAGTGATATAATTATAACACACATTAAATGTTCAAACAATAGATTAAGTAGAAAACAGGCACAAAATAGTTGATGCTATGGAAACTAAAACTAGTAGAAAATGCCATTGTGCAATATCTAAAAATGTTGTCAGCTGAAAATTAAGTTCAAATTTTACATTAAAAAATAAAGAAAAATTTAGGGGTATTAAAGTATTAAGCATAACAAAGTAAATTGAAAGGTAAATATCCAAAAGTTGAGAAATCAAACTATTTCGGCTTTTGTATATATATATATATATATATATTAGCACTCTTATCAATGGAACCAAAGGCAACTCTTTGCTGATGTACCAGAGATAATCAGCATGCTTCTTTAGAGCAGTGATATTGATTGTGGGTGTGTCCTAATAATTGATAAAACTTCAGACTTAATTATTAATTAATACTAATACTAATACAGTAAGACCCCCGCTTAATGCTGACTTGATATAACGCAATCTGCTCGAAGCCTTAAAAAAAAGGGTCAAAATTTTCACTGATTTAAATTATTGTGGCATTTCATTGATTCATATATAATATGATTNTATTATTACTTAAGTATGTAAAAATTTATTACATTTCCTGTTGTGCGAGGGTTTTACCCAATTCTCGAACCATGTCAGAGTGAATCCATGCTATAAAAGTACCGTGTTGTACGGGGAATGGTACCAATTCTCGAACCGTGTTAGAGCGAATCCGTGCTATAGAAGTGCCGTGTTATACGGGGGATGGTACCAATTCTCGAACCGTGTTAGAGCGAATCCGTGCTATAGAAGTGCCGTGTTATACGGGGTTACCTGTACTTTCTTTAAATCTGTTTGTTTGGTGCAATTTTGGAAAAAATAAAACATTATGGATGCCATAGGAAATATCGACTTCGCTTGGCAAGAATTAACTGATAAATGCACAGTGTGGAAGAAATTATGGCTGAAGGTATCCAAGAATTTGCAACAAGAAGAGCCTATCACTGTATCATTAGGTTGACCAAACTCAACCTAATCGATACAGCAGGACTAGGAGATATAGATGAGCAGGATATTGAGGAGTTACAGCAGGTTTCTGGTGAGAGTCTTACCAACAACTACCTTCAAGAACTGGCAGAACATGGAATCATGTGGAATTGGAAAATAGAGATTGTGAAAACGAAGAACCCATAAAATTTCCCTACAGATTTCCTTACTAAAAGTTTAGTAAGATAACCAAAATCGTTGAACAAATTATAACGAGTGATCCAGATTTTGAAAGGAGTGCAAAAGCAAAATGCACCCAAAACACCTTGATCTTCTGCTATAAACATTTGCTTAAGGAAAGAAAAAAGCAACAAATGAAACTACACGACTTTATTGCAAAAAAACAAGAATTTCAGAAAAGTCAGGACTTTCATCACAAAAAATGAACTTTACATTTCTGTGTGCATATGTTTGTGTTATTTAACATATATTATTATACAAATTAATATAAAAATAACTTAATTAAAGAATAATTTGTTGATTTTTGGTCATGTGTTTCCCTATCCCTATTTACTCTGTTAAAATGACCTCGTTTAATGCTGTTTTGCTTAGCGCTTTGTTTTCAAGGAATGCATCCCTCGTGTTAAGCGTGGTTTTACTATAATAATAATAATAATAATAATAATATTTTTAGTTCATGTTGNGTTCTATCCCTATTTACTCTGTTAAAATGACCTCGTTTAATGCTGTTTCGCTTAGCGCTTTGTTGTCTAGGAATGCATCCCCCGCATTAAGTGGGGTCTTACTGTATTAAAAAGAATTGAAAAGAGATTATTTGATTATAGATTGAATTATAAAAAGGTTTAGCTATAAAATATATTTAATTTTCCAGGTGAATGGTTTGGTAAAATCCTTGCCACAACCTTAGCTTGCTTCCATTGGTCATAATAATAGCTTTTACAACATTAGTAATTTTTCGAAGGGATTTACATACAGTAAGTATCTTATTTTATTTTATTATTGAAAGAACCCTTTTAAAATATCTTTAAATTCAATCAAATTTTAATATTTCGTAATAATTAATCGACTTTTTGACCGAATTTNATCTAAATTTATCCTTATTAAAAATATTAAATATGTAGTAAGTATAGTTCAGGGGACACCAAACTTTTTTCACAGCAGCCAGATAACTGAGAGAATGACAATCACAGGCCACATAACCAGTTTGTTCAATACAGCATGTTGAATACACAAAAAATAAAGACAACCAACATATTTATTTACTAATACACAAACACGATCGCTGCAACAAGCTTGTAATCGCTTTTGTTAGAAACTTTATTGCAGTACTTACACAAAAAGTGCTCTAATATCCAAAGTCACAAAAAGTTGCCGAAATTTTTATTTTGCTGATTTTTCTAAAAATTATATTATTGTCAGATGCAAAAATCAGATTGGACCACTTCTGGCACATATACTTACACTTATTTTAATTTTTTATACATAGTAAGTTTATCTACAAACTGATATTTCCATATAAATAATAATATTTTACCTCATTTGTGCCACAGTGTAGTAGTGGGCCAGATGAACTGACCTTGCGGGCCATAGTTTGGTTGACCCCTAGTATAGTTCATCTAACTGACCCAAAGAGGTCAATTTTAACATCTGTCACAAGCATATTATTCAATTTTGAATTAGTGATGATTTAATTGAAATTACTTTCTGAAAATTGGTTTTAATGTTGTTTTTATTTATTAGAAACAGGAAAATTTGAAGTTTTAGAAATGACACCACTGTCTACACCACCAGAATTGCCTGAAGTCATGAAACCTGATGCTCCAAGCCACGAACAACTTGTTGCCTAAGTAGTCCTGCCATATTGCACTGTGAAGCTTCTTTTCATGAAAGGTATATTTTGATGCAAAAGGTGAATTTTGACTAGAAAGTTTCTTTTTTTATATATATAATTGGTTGAATGTTTCCATTTAAACTCTCCAAACAAAATAATTTATTTTAATGTTAAAATTGTCATGTTTCACTGCCGCATACAGCATTGTATATTGTACATGAATATCAAATTGTTTTCTTTAAGTGATATAATTAAATATCCAAATTAGAATTAAATGTTTTTTAAAAAGTTTGTAAATTTTTTTTAAATAAAATATATAAAATATTCATTTACAATTATATTATTTGAGTAATTATTTAACAAATTATTTCAGACGTTTTCATTTTACACAAATTTTGTTTAAACTATTCATACATAAATGAAACAAGACATGAAAAGAGAATATTTAACTATATAATAATTCTTATTATTGCAATATTGTTAATATTAAACATTATTCTAAAAGATAATTGTTTCAATACGATCTTTTAACTTGTAAGATACTTAGCTATTGTTTTTATAGTAGCTCTGAAATTTGAATATATTGCATTATAAAATTTAAATTTTCAGTATTAACTGTATTGTTAAAGGAAAATATCAAAATAATAGCAACTAAAGAAATTAAAATGAAATTTTTTCCATTCTTTAAAAAATCTCTTTAAAACACTACTATGACAAAATGGCTACAATTAAATGTTTAGCTTTCTCCATAAATTTAAATTTAGAAAAAAAAAAATCATTATTTTAATTAGCTTTTAATATTATTAAGCTACAAAAACTGTACAGGGGAGAATATTTTTATTATAAGTATTTTTTCCTGTGAGATATTACAAAATTTAAGCACATAGATGTAATTAAAATGGCAATGTATTCCTTGAAATGCTCAAAATTTTATTTTTATTATTTAATATGTCAGATAGGACTTCAGTTACATTTTGCATAGCTTAAACTTAATTTCATTAGCATTTATATATTCTAAAAAAAAAAGGCATTTATATTTGAAAAGCAGTGTTAAGAATAAAATTATTATTTTAAAGCTATTAATATGTGATGTAATGACTCTTCTAATGTAGAATACCACATTTTTAAAAGTTTCAAATAATATTTTGAAGCTGTAAAATATAACTATTATGTAAATCATTACTTGTACCCAACAATTGAGAATGAATAAAAGAATGTTGACTGTTGTTTTCAGAAGCATTTTTATACTGAATAGGGTAACTTCAATAACTGGAATGAAGGGAAGGGAGCCACTTCAGGAAGAGCAAAGTTAGCACATTTTCACTTCTAATTATTTTAAATGAAATTAAATAGAAAAAAGGTCACGATATGACATCTGCATCAAACAAACTTTAAAATAATGTATAAAATATAATTTGTATGCAAGTACCTTAAAGAATTAAAAATAGATTTTGCCTTGGCATATTCTGTATATATACTGTATTTATTCAAATCTAAAATAGGTCTTAATTTTTACAGCTCACCCACAGTTTTTTTAAATAGATAACTCTACAAATTTGTCAAATGAATCAATGTTTATTACTAGTAAAGTAAGTTATATGCCACTGTATTTCATGGTATCAAAATTGTAAACCTTTTCATTTGCTGCATTAGGTTTTTCTAAATAAATGTTAATGTTGTTTTAGTCATGTTCGTGAGTATAAGTTTTACTTATTATACAGGTAAACTAAAACTATGCTAATCAACACTAGATTTATTATTATTATTATTATTCACATCCTTCTAAGTGCAATCATATTTGGTACTGTTTAAAGCACCAGAAATGCAGCTTTTCTGAAAGTGCTGCACAACTTTTCCTGGTATTTTCATCCAAGTACTTACAGCATTACTGTAATAGACTAATGAGATTGAGCTAGGTTTACTTCTTAAATACTTTCTATTATTAATATAGGCCTAACAAAATCATTAAAATGATGTAATGGAATTAGTGACAGAAATATGGTGTTTGGCAGTAGAGGTCACTAATTATGATATTATATCAAGTCTGAATGCACCCTATTTTCAGAGATACAAAAATCTGACAAAACGAGTCTTGCATTCAAGTAAATATGGTAGATTGTTTTTATAGATATTTCAAAGAATTTTTAATTTCTTGATTACTGAATAGTTAAAATTGTTTGTTTTGACTCTTGATGACTTTAAAAGAGTAATACAGTAATAAATTTTCAGACTTAGATCAAAAGAATCATAATAAACTTTAAGATAAATTTTATTATTCAGAATAACAATAATTCTAAATTTAAGTTAGTAAAAGCAATGGAATCATTATCTGAAGAATCTGAGCATTTCAAAGATGCTCATAGATTGTCATTTTCTTTAATTACAGACATAAAGATAATTCTATTCTTGATTGGTTTATTTGCAAAAAGGAAAGGACTATGTATTATTAATTTGTTGCTTTTGCTTATTTAAAACAAACACTAAAGTTTAAGTAAAAGTTTCTATAATATTTGTCCTGGAATATTTTAGTTAAATAATACATATTATTATTAATATGTACATTTTCTTACAACTGTATATTTTTTTATGTAAAATTTTTAAAATATTTATTTTACACCAATCTGTTATATATGTACGNTATATTTTAGACCTAAGATTATTGGGGTTTCATAAAATTTTTCTTGTTAAAATCTTTCTTTAAAATCGTGTCTAAATATTACGTAAGATAAGGAAGAGGCGGGGGTATCAAAGAAAATATTACAGTTTCTTACACAGAGGTGGGTGAAAGTCTGAAATGGCAAAAATCACCCTTACATAATTTATGGGCGGTCTCTTTCAGTAAGGAACTCAAGTGATGTCTCCTTTGAGAAAAAATTTTTGCATTTAAATCATGTGACTTTATGTTTCCATACAGTTAATTGGGGCTTCCTGCACATACATTCCAATTTTTTCTCGATTTTTAAATGTGTAACTCTGGTACAGAGATTCTGGAAGGAAGGTTATGTAACTGGAAATTTATAGGTCTACAATGTTTTTCAAATTGCAGCCCAAATGATATTCCAACGGAAAAGGTTAATATTGCAATCGACATAAAATACTTAAACATTTTAATTTATGAAGGTTATATTTCGAAATTTCTAACAAATTTATTATTTGGAAATTTATAGGTCTACAATGTTTTTCAAATTGCAGCCCAAATGATATTCCAACGGAAAAGGTTAATATTGCAATCGTAATAAAATACTTAAACATTTTATGTATGTTTGTATATAAAATAATAACAGATAAACAAAAAGAAAATATGCAATCTATATCAACATCACAGCAGAATCTGATTTTGCATTTTCTCACTTTTCATTTGTGTGTTATTTGTAGCACATGTTTCACATTTCTGTTAGAAATGAGTATTCAAAGTCTAAGAGCTTACGCTGAAGGAAAAATACAAACGTGTCTGAATTTGAATGTAATAAAACTTCTCAAGCTGAATTTACAAAACAAAAAACACCTTCCAAGAACATTAGTGGGAATTTGAAGAAAAAATAGGAAATTAAGAAACTTTTTCTTGGGTCTTCGTTGGGACTGTTTTGAAAGAGAGAGTCATTGTACAAAGATGTTGAAGATGCTCTGGTATGTTGGCTAAAGCAAATTCGTTCATCGAATCTTCCTGTTTTGGGGCAGATACTGAAACAAAAAGCGATGGAAATTGCTGAGGTACTTGGAGTAGAAACCAATGTTAGTGCCAGTGGTGAATGGTCAGTGAGGTACATTGCATGTACTGCATAAAGCACTATGGTATTTTCCTAATTGTAGTTTTGTAGTTTTTTGAACTTTGTTTTAGTTGTCATATCGGATAACTTGACACATTTCCACTTCCCCTTGGGATGTCAACTTATGCAGACTCGACTGTAGTTGTAGAATAAATGTGGATACTTATTCATTTGTTTATCTTTAAAAGATTAGATGCAATTTTCATAGAAAAATGAGATCAAAAAATAAACATATTAATACAGTATCATCACTAAAAAATCTACTTCATTATTTCATTTAATAAAGGAAAATTTAGGAATAACAAATTAATTACCTATATTAAAAACATTTAATTCCATTATAGATGAAAATTTATAGTACTTTTCTTTTGCATTTTAATTTATTCTAAAAAATAATGTTAAACAATTAAATACAAAATATAATTTTTATATTTGGATATTGCTTTAAATAGGTTTTTTTACACAGATGATGGTTCGTTCCATTGTTACTAACATACACACTTTTTTTTTCAAAATTATTTTACAAGTTTTAAACATAAAAGCAATATTTTTTGTTTTAGAACAAGAATAAACTGAATGTTATGTTTAATACTATATTACTATAGACAGAATTATAAATTGAAGATTATTAATACTCGGTTTTAAATGAGTAATTTTAGTTTTAAGTTAAATGGTTACTCGAGAAATTTTAAGTTAGTGAGAAAAAGAAGTGTTTTTTAAAATATACTAAGATGGACATTTTGGTACGTTTTTCATTTTAAACAAATTATTATGGAAATAATCTGAAGTCAGAATCATATATGTGAATTGTATATTGCTTATTACACTGTCATGTTTTCCTACAGATCAAAATATAGGTTTTTCTCAATATTCAGTTACTGTTGTAACAAACAAATATGCAGCAAATTGTTAAAAAATATGAAAATTTTTTAATTTAAATATTTTGGCTGAATTCAATTAAACCTTAGTAGTTGAATTACCAAATTATTGCAGTTGAGATGACAAAATCATTTAAAAAAAAAAAAGAGATGATATCACTTGCAATAATAAGTGCTATTGTAAATTATTAGCAATGAATCTTAGTATATTATTGCTGTTTAATGAAATGATATTGAATTTTTATAATTATGAAAGTAGGTATTCAGCAAAACTGTTTTATTCTTGACAGCTTAAACTTTAATAAATGCTACTAAAATATTGTTTTAAAAGAACTCTAAAAACTTTCAAGGGAAAAATAGAAGAGAGTCATGTATTTTACATATAATCTGATTTTATAGACATATTTTGCTTTT